TTTTTTTTTTTCATCTTAAAGAATCTTTAAAAAGTTCATATCCACTGGTTCCATTTTTAGGAGTGTAATCTAAGAAAATAAATATATGAAGATTTATGTACAAGGATGTTCAATATATTGGTTATATTTTCCCAAACAACGAAAATAACCCAAATATTCAACAGGGAATTATAAAAATAAATTGTTCCAGCTACTTACTGGAATGCTATGTAGTCAATTTTTTAAAAAATGTTTTCAATGGATATATAATGACATGCTTTATCTTAACATTAAAAAAAAATATGCAGCAGCAAAAAAGATCAAAGAAACATTCAACTGTAAATAGTTGTACTAACTGGCAATAGGATTTTGAATGATTTCATTTGCTTCTTTATTCTGTCCTATGTTTTCCAAAATTCCTGCAATGAGTACATATTTTTAGGGTTAGAAAAAATGTTTTGTTCTTTTTTTTTTTAAAGGAAAATAACCCTTGGCTGCAATAGGCTTATATAACTATTATAACTTCTCTATCTACACAAAGGGAAGAGTGTGTGGCCACTTACCCGCCCTGTGTCCACACTGGGTTTCTGGTGGCTGAAATGCACATCTGAGGGACATCTGTATGTACACTAACTTATTTGTTATAAAATTTCACTGGATAGGTGACTTCTGATACACAATATAGTCCAAGCAGAGTATCACAAAACACATCACTAAAGTATACTAAAATAAGGTTATTTACTTAAAAATGATATACTGGATGTAATCTATATATAGAACAAAGCAATTAATGGTAAACTTAATAAGGCACCTTTTAAACCAGATGCTGTACAAAATACATTGTGTGTTACATATCAAAGACGAATCTATATTTTTGGTGTTTTACAAATGCATAATAAAACTGCTTGTTTTTAACCTTCTTTCAGCGTATATGTACAACTTTCCTAATTAAGCTATAATGATACTTTCATTTTATACAATATATACTACATTTTAGTTTTTAAATGGGCAAAGACAACAGTCACTAAAAGGGCTTAAATAATTCCATTGAAAGCATAGTACAGAGCACAAGCTAAAATTATAATATATTTAATCCTTTACAAAAGCAGTATTCACATACCTTCCTTATAGGATGATTACACATAGCTTCATGTGATGCTGCCCTAGATTTAATCTGCTCTTTATGAATGTATCAGCTCTCTGCAGTTTTCACTGTGACTCTCATAATAGCACTGAGGCAAGAAGATGAACTGCTACACTGCTATTTTAACATCTGACCCAAGCAAATAATAAATATTACCACTTTTAAACAGTACAAGAGCTGCAACAATCTTTTTAAAAAAAAATAAATTCGTATTTCTGCTGTTGAAATTATTTTAGATATTTAGAAACATTTCAAAACGTGTATGAAAAGAAAAACAAATAATTTAATTTATAAAATCTTGCCTGGAATAAATTATTCAATATCAAATTTGATCTTGGGCCAACTTAGAGATGCATGATTCTTTAAACATTGTATTGCATTTTTGTTCTAAACAGAAGCAAAGCATCTGGGGAAAAAAAGGTACTGAATATTTTTTAGAGCAAATAAATAAAAAATCTGGCACATTCTAGGAAAACATAATTTTCAAGAACTATAGGTCACTTTCTAAGCTCAAAAACACTCCTGAAATTGGAAAGGCAACACAAAATGTTGATTGAAATATCTTTTGTGAAAACATTTCCAGAGAAACCAGATTTGAATTTTATGCTTCAGAAACTTGTCCAATAAGAAAGCACAGGGAAAGCTTAGAATAGACACACTGAAGCCAATTCCTAGCATGCATGCCCTTAATTCTAAAGATATTGATATTTACCAGTATAAAGAGAATTCATAAGGAGAATTTTCTTTGAGGAAGGATTAACTTCTGTTATATTCAGGTAGTTTTGGTTTTTTGTTTGTTTTGATGTTTTAGTTATTTAAAGGGATGACAGACAGAAGCTACACATTTTTAAGATGCTAAGTTGTAAACAGGACCAAATAATGGCTTCCAGGGTTTTACAAATTATTATTTATGGTACCATGTAATACTTCCTCTTTTACTCTTTAAATATTTAAATATGAATTTAGAAATTTAAGAGTAAGAATAAAAGGAGAGAAAAAATAGATTTCATGCAACTTGTTTTTGACTTTAGGATTTCAAAAATGGAATCATTTGCTTTGTAAAGAACATGTAATATTAGAAAATATTTTTATTGAACAAGTTTCTTGGTATCATTTTTAATAGATCAATTTAATTAAAAAATCATTATAATGCTCTTGTACTTATATATTATCTGCAATTGTCTGCTTCCACATACTATTTTAACATTTCTAAGAATACAGTTTGCCTTTCCTTACATTTTTTTATTATTAAGATGACAAATTATTTTCAAGATTTATAGTTTATCAAATGAAAAATAAATCAAGGTTAACCTTACACTAAGTAGAGCTCATAAGTATTCCTAAATCACTTGGAAATTTAGATAAAAATACCTGTACTTCTCAGTACAGAGATGGGGAAAACATTCTCAAACAGGAAGTTACTGGGTACTATATATATCAATATATAAATTTACTTATCTTGATAAACACTTCAAGCTTTAGTTATGTACGATGAAAATTATTAAACTTGGTCAAAACTGTTAAAGCAAGTCTCAAATTTGTGATTGATGTATAGACAAATATGTAAGCATTTCATCCTTAAATGTCAGTCACATTTTTGGCAATGGATGGATACATGCTCTGATTCCTCCCCTTTAAAGATTTTTTAAACTATGTTGCGATATAATCAATTTATTTTATGCTATATTCAAGAAAACTGTCTCACTTTATGCACCCATGAGTTGTTTGTTCAGAATAAGACATTAATATTTAAAAGGCATTGCAGAAGTATAGTTAGTTTAAGTAAATCAGAATTACTCCTTGGGGAAACAAGGCATCCATAAATATGTAGCATTTTATTGAATAACAGCTATATGGTATAGATATAGGTACTGACTAGATATTGAACTTTTTGCCTGATTCTTCACTGTCTTCACAAACTTACGGAACAGAAATCATAAAACCAAAAATCTCAAATGATTTAAATGTCTAAAACAGTTGTTGACAAATGTATATTAACTCTGTGACAGAAATTTCTAATTGGAGGATCCTTTCATAAAGGAGAATTGAGATGATGGCATCTTAATGAAAGTCTATACCTATGGTTAGTTCTTGATATTTAAACAAAGTCCTAGACTTGATATACTACTTTGAATTAATTCTGAAAATTTACATGTAGTTCTACTTTACAACGTTTTTTTTCTGAAGAACTTTTAATTTTTTTCCCCTTAAGGATGGGATATGAGGTACACATGAGCTGGTTTCTATAGTATGAATGTATGTACATATATAAAATAGGGTTGTAAAGGAGCAGGTGCTTTGCAAGTAAAGCATATTACACGCAAAATATAAATAACTTCCCTTTTAAAAGTTACTGAGAATAAAGAATACAGAACATGGTTATAGGCACTTAAATTGCTATCAAATGCAGTAATTAGTATTCACTTCAATAAGAAGTGTTTTCTTTAGAAGGTTCATGGCATTGGAAGTTCCAACTTTGGATAGGATGCTTTTCATGACAAAAATAATAATTACAAAAAAAAAAAAAAGTTTGTGGTGGGAGGAAAACAGTCCAAATTTACATACACTTTAAACTCCTTTTGGCCTTTATATCAATTTTAATGTTAAAAAATAAAGTTGGTGGAGAAGCTAGCTCACTTGCAAGGTAAATGGCTTTTATGTGATTGGCAAATCTTGGTCAGATAATGCATTTTTAAAGCACAAAACCAACGGCCACCAATATGCTCCTGTGCATTCATAAATTATTTTCTTCTAATTCAAATGGCAGCAGAGGAATTCTCGTATGCATGTATGTACACAGACACACACACACACACCACTATCAAGGCATGACAAACTATCATAAACTAAGCAGTATCCCAAACAGATCATGATCCATAGGCTGTTTACAAAGGTAGAATACAAATAGATTAAATTTTCTCAGGTAGAAGGTAAAAGTGTATATTTCTCCATCTCTGCTGAATTCATTTATCTTCTTAAGGCTTTCACAGAAAGCACCATTTTATGAACAGGTAATTCAGTACCCAGAGTTTGACTGGAGACATTAATCAGGATTGAAGTCTTGATGCAGTTCATAAAAACCCAATAAAAAAAAGGCATCAAAAACCACATTTATAATAAAGCTGTCCATATATAAAGAATGAAGTGTTTAGGAGTTCCCAGCTTGTATTCTACAGAGTACTGAAAGGTTTAATATTAGCAGCCTGTGAAGGTGTAGTGAGGAAAGAGTCTGAGAACCAAGTTAACATCCTTATTCTATTCTAATTCCACCCGTTCCTTGGGTGAAAACAGTTCTTGCAGTCTAGAATTTCTCCTCATGATTATTTGTCTGTCAAATCTTTACATCTTGAGATTCAACCATCTTGGCAAGTGTCTTCTTGATTCTCAGAGCTGTAAGTCTGGAGGCTGGATTGTGAGCCCAGCATTCTGACATTAGCTTCAAAACTGCTCGTAGACACTGAAAAGTAAAGAGAATGTAGTGAGTAGGTAAATATCTTTGGCAACACTCAGCAATCACTTCCTAAGGGGACTGAATTCCACTTACTTCATCACTGTTCCATCGATTAGACACAATTGGCCGCAAACGTTTGACACACACAACCTCACGCATATCTTCATATGATGGGTCACTGGGTACCATGTTATAATATGGCAATTGGTACTCTTCTACGATTCCTGTAGTGAGTTAGAAATTACAGTGGGCGCAAAAATGGTGGCTGGACAAAATACATCAATCCATTCAGTACCTTCTACTGAACTATGGAACGGAAACAAATCTCTCCATAAAGAAGAAAAGATTACAGAGTGGATGATTCACTTTTAATAGTAAACGTATGTTCTCTTTTTTTTATGTCTAATTATTTTCTCTACCCCCACCATAGCTGTCCATATTGGACATACCAATATCCCTTAAAATAAGCAAGGCGAACCACTCACTTACCCTAAATTTTCAGTCGTTATTTATGTACACAATTGTTTCTACTAATGAATGAGGTTTTAATTTTTTTAATTATTTTTTTTTCTGCAGTAGAAAGACAACATATATGCAGAAAAGAGTTAATAAAGCAGACCTGAAACTGCTATTCTTAAAAGGCCTGCTTGCAAGACTGGCACTTGACTGGTGTCTGAGAACTTGCCTGGTAAACAGCTCCCTACACTCATATAAAACTAATGAAAAGGTGAGTCACTGTTCCTAGACTGTTTGTGCCAACAATATGGTTTATGCTGGACACCTGGCTTTCTTTCTAGAAGTTTGGAATTTTGATACATACTAGGCAGAGGATGCCCACGTGACCAGCCTCCAAAAAAATCTTTGGGTACTAAATCTCTAATGAACTTCCCTGGATGACAATATTTTACACATTATCACGATTCATTGCTGGAGTAACTTAAGCAAATCCCAAGCGACTCCACTGGGAAAAGACTTTTGGAAGCTTGTACCTGATTTCCTCTAAACTTTCTGCCCCATGCACCTTTTCCCCTTTGCTAATTTTGACGTGTAGCCTTTCAGTGTAACAAATTTTAGCTGTGAAGACAACTATATGCTGAGTCCTGGGAGTCCTAATGAAATCACAGAACTGGGGAGGGGTTGATCTTGGGGTTCCCTGACACACACGACATCTAAATTATACAACTGGAGCTGTTATTTTTTGAATGATGAGTATACAAACATAACCAGAAACATGCTACCTAAACTCCTACCTCCTGTGATACAACGACGAGCCATTTCCCAAATAATCAGGCCAAAGCTATAGATGTCAGCCATTATGTAGGGCTGGAAATGGTTTTTATTCAGGCTTTCATCTAGCACTTCTGGAGCCATGTAGCGTTTGGTACCCACCCTAGTATTCAAAGGTACATCAACTTCATTTGTATCACTGAAACAGAAGACAGACAATGTCCAGGTTGAGGGCCAAGAACAAAATCGTTTCTCATCTATTTTTGTCTCATATTGTAAAAGTCAGGGTCTCTCTCTGTATATATATAACAAAATAAAATAAAGATCTATCTTTCTATCTAATATGTCTACATCCCCTTAACAGAAATCCTTGGGGTCAGATGCATTTTGAAATTCAGCATCTTTCAGATTTAAAAAAGTAATATACCCTTTAAATATATACTATATATTATATAAATCTCCAGCAGGGTCTGCAGCAGTACTCAATCAAAATCATTAGTAAGTACACAGTGAAAAACTAAGTATGAATGTTCATACTAAGCTGGATAAATAAAGACAGTAAATACCTCACAACAGTTCAGGTCAAGTTTTGTCACCAACAATTTTTGTGCCTCTCTAAGAAAGAGAACAACACTGAATACGAAAAAAGTGGTACGTAATTATATCCCAGAACAAGTGAATGTGAAAATTAATTGAGAGGAATCATTTGCTTTTATCATTCTCATGTGATCCTTTGTGATTTAGGATTACATTTTTTTTCTTTATGGGTCCGACCAACTTAGTTCTACTGTGAGTAATGTTTACATAATCATATTGAAATGATGTTTATTGTTTTTTTCAATTTTTAGAGTAAATTTTAGAGTTAGAAGACATGAATGATTTGTTTTTAGGTCTCCAGATCTATTACGTTCTGAAAACTACTCTGAGGCAGAGATTAATATAATGTATTTTATATTTTCTTAAATTAGCATCTGATGAATATTTGAGCCAATATACACTCCACTGATGAAAACAACAGGATTAGAATACTGTAAAAATGATGGAAGAAGATTAAAATTTTTTAATGTTTGCTTTATCATGGACTAGTACTTTTAAATTATGGCCTGAAATGAGTTTTGAAATGTGAAATGGCTGCTGTATTCCAGAATTATAACATTAAAACAATTTAAATGGTTTTCTAAAAATCTGATATTCTCATTGTTTAAAAATATTGACAATATCAAGTAGTGATGAAGAAATGGCGTACTTATATCTTGTTTATGGGAGTGTAAACTGATGCACGCTTTCTAAAGGGATAATCTACAACATACTATTAATAACTTAATATGTACATACTCTCTGTTTAGCCTCTTCTCTAGCAATCCATTATGAAGAAATACTTGTCCAAGTGTTCAAGGATATTATATATGGATAAAATACAATATTCATTAAAGCATTTTTAAAATAATAGAGATAAACTGGAGGTAACTTTAATGCTCAGCAGTTGGGTCACAGATGAAATAAACTACAGTACATCTATAAAATGGAAAACTTTCCTTAACACTGTTAAAAAGAATGAAGTAGATCTATATATACTGAAACGGAAGGATGCCTAAGACAATAAAAAGTAGGAAATCAAGAATTATGTAGAATAGGAGGTAATTTTTGTTAAAAACAGAAAACACAATGACAACAAAACACGAAGACAGGGCTTCCCTGGTGGCACAGTGGTTGGGAGTCCGCCTGCCGGTGCAGGGGACACGGGTTTGTGCCCTGGTCTGGGAAGATCCCACATGCCGCGGAGCGGCTGGGC